GGTCCCTGATGCTTTGCCAAGCTTGTTCTAAGTAGGTGCCTCAGACCACCGAGCCATCTTTCCAGCCCCCAGATACAAAATTTACATTTTTTTGTTATATAGGTCTTGATTTATCTTGGTCTTAACCATCCAGCATAAAAGTATAAAAATGAGTTATTAAAATAAAGCCATATTAATATGCTGAACTGCAAAAGACTCAAGTCAAGAACTTCTGACATTGCCAGATCTACAGATAACCCTCTACTATTCTGGACTACTGGACTCGATTGGATTATTTTGCTGAATGCACATATGTACAATATTTAAACATCCATGGAATACCCATCTCTGATAAAACTAAATAAAAGAGGATACAAATATAGGACCATTTTGTATCTGTATAAGCAAAAGAGTTAGTATACATATACTGCTTTCTCTTAATTCAATAAGGAGAAAGATTTGTACTAATTGTTGGGGATGATATCATGTCTGCATCTTACATGATGAATAACCACTAATAAGACTACAATATACAATGTATAAATTATTGAAACTGTGCTATTAATTTGCTTTGAAACTGTCTCATTCCTATTTGTTTCTCTATAAAATTAATTAAGAAAAGAAGTGATTGAAAATTTAAGCAAACAAAATAATAGAAATTCAATCACAATTGCTTTACTGCATGAAGTTATGCTCAAATTGGTTGTTTAGTTTACCAGATATAAACATGCCAGATCCATTTAAAGGAAAAGCAAAATGAAACGAAATTATAAGAAATTAAAAAGAGGGCTGGAGAGATGGCTCAGTGGTCTAAAGCACCTACTTAGAACAAGCTTGGCAAGGCATCAGGGACCACGGTTCAATCCCCCAGCACCACATGCCAGCCAGCCCCGCCCCCTGGTGGGCTGAGCTGGCCACACACACACACACACCACTCTCTCTCTCTCTCTCTCTCTCTCTCTCTCTCTCTCTCTCTCTCTCTCTCTCTCATAAATAAAAATAAAAAAAAGAAATTAAAAAGAAAAGAAGAAGAAAATAAATGTACTCATTAACTGCCGCTTTCAAAGGACCAACAGAAATTGGCAGTACAAGTATCCGAATCATCCTGCAGCTACATCTAAATACATCATTTCCCCTTCTTTCTTTTGTCATTTTCCTCATCCCAGGTTTTCCTTCCCATTGAACAACTTCTTTCACAGTATCTACAGTCCCTTTCTAAGTTTGCTTGCTTTTCCTGTTTGTCACACTACTGAGACAACATAATTTTTGCACATGTGAGTCTGATTAATTTCACTTAACATTATAGTCTCTAGTTGCATACATCTATCTACAAAATCCTCTAGATTGTTTCATTTCTATTTTGATAATTTTCAATTGGCATACATAAAGCAGTTGTAAAAATGCATATGAGTCTTTAAATCCTGACAACTTGCTAAATTCATTTCATGTTTATAACAGGATTTTGGTTAAATCGTTGGAATTTTCTATATGTAAAATCATGTCATCTGTAAAAAAAAGACAATTTGGATTTTCTTTCCTTCTTATTTTGATGTCTGCTTTTGTTTCAGTTGACTAATAGATCAAACAAGGGCTCCAGTGCTATGTTGAGTGAAAGTGAACAAATTAAACATCCTAGTCTTGGGCAGGTTAGAGGAGAGAGAAATTTCAGATGTCTCCTTCATAATACGTCACCACTGTCTTTTACATAACAAGTTTTATTACATTCAGGTAATTTCCCCAAACTCTAATTGATCAGAAAGGATGTTATACTACATCAAGCTGTTTTCCTTCATCTACTGAGATTATGAAATCATCTACTCATTCATGCTGTTGCTGTATAGCTATTGTTGCAGATATGCATAAAAGGAGAAATACTTGAGCAATTGGGATAAATACATCTTGATTATATTTTTTAAAAAGATATTTTTGGAACCATGATCTGAACATGGGATCTTCATACTAAACATCATCTCCAGTACTTTTTATTTTTTATTAATTTTATTGAGGAAAAAATAACAATGAGACAGTTTCAAAACTGATTAGTAGGACGGTTTCAATAACTAATACATTGCATATTGTTGTCTTAATAATTGTTACACATAGTACAAGATGCAGATATGTTATGCTGTTCAAACACTCTTAGTACAAATATTTCTTCTCACTAAATTAAGATAAAGTAGCTGTATATCTATCCTACTTTGTATATACAGTACAAAATGTTCCCTCATTTGTATCTCATTTTGGTTTCGTTTTCTCAGAGATGAATATTCCATTGCCATTTAAATATTGTAGATGTGATAATTCAGCAAAATAATGCAAAACAGTCCAGTAGTCCAGAATACTAGTGGGTTTTCGGTAGGATTGGCAACGTCAGAAGTAGTTGACTTGAACCTTTTACAGCTCAGCATATTAATATGGCTTGAGATTTAATAATCTGTTTTTATACTTTTCTGCTGGATGGCTAAAACCAACATAAAGGAAGTCCTATATAAAAAGAAAAATAACTTTTGTATTTGATAAGGTCAGTCAACTCCCCTCAGGATTTACCAGAAACCCTGTACTGCAATTTGTAGATCTTTTGTCAGTGTCCGCCATATGAATGAGTCAGGGCCATTGCTTGACCCATTTTCACTCTGTGGAAACCTGAGAGAACGTTTTCTCTTCATGTGATTCTCCTGAGGCACACTCTACATCACTGATCACTTTCCTCTGTGGCCTCATAATCTCTTTGGTCAGAAAATTTGACACATCACTGAGTTACAGGATGTTACAGTACAGGTTCTCTTATGTTCTGAGTCCTCATTGAATTTGAAAAGCTAGGACCAAAATGTTGGCTGTGCTTGTAGCCCTTACTTTTCTTTAATTTTTGGTTGGAAACTTAAGTTCCTCACCCTCCAGAAGAGAAGCTTAATGATATTATTACCCTATAACATAGGAAGTTGAGCTTAACCTCACTATCTGTCTGAATATCAAACATTTTTGACGCAACATAGAACAGGTATTTTCCATCAAGTATTGATATGTTCAACTTTAAATCCCTACTGAATTTGAAGAAAAAAGCATGAAAAATTTAAAAATAGGAATAAACAATTGCATAATTTTACTTTGAAATTTAGAAATCTAACCATATACAGCATTGTAGCAGGACAGTGCTATGACATGTTTTTCTTGTCTTTTGTTTTCATTTATAACCTTTTTTTAAAGACACATTTACTTGAGACACAGTATAGTAGTAGTTGATATGACAAGACAAGCAGTACATATTTCGAAGACCAGAATGACATGTATTTCAAGAATGACCCTAGTATTACACCTTGCTATCTTCAGTGCGGTTGCTTTTTTCACAGGTATCAGCATATATAGTCAGTCAGGGTGATAATCCTGCCAATTAATTTTTTAGCTTCAAAAATCTGCTGAAGATTCTCAACATCATTTCCTTGACCATCTTTTGCATGTAAATGTATTGTTTTTCCACTATCATATTTACTAGATTTTTTCCTTGCCCTCTCTTTGTTGGTTAATGCTTAAGTACTCACTTTCCTTTTAATTGTGTTATACATTTCTATATCTATTCCTTGTTGTTAGTTCTTACACTAAGAATACTACACAATATTTACACATATATGTCTGGTTTATTTCACTTATGAGTTTATATTCAAATGGCATCCACTTAAATACAGAGGCATTGAGTTTATCAATCCTTATAGCTGAGTAATACTCCTTTGTATAATAATACCACATCTTTTTCATCCATTCGTTAGGTGATGGGCATTTTGGTTGTTTCCAAGATTGCCTATCACAAATTGTGCTGCTGTAAACATAGTTGCACATATGTCACTATGATATGATGGTTTCAGTTCCTCTGGGATATACCTAGTAGGGGAATAGCTACTTTGAAATGGGATTTCTAGTCCTAGATTTTAAGGAGTTTCCACACTGATTTCCATAATGATTGCACCAGGTCTATATATCCACCAGCAGTAGAGAAGGGTACCTTTTTCCCCAAAGCCTCTCTAACATATGTTGTTGGTTGGTTTCTTTATTATAACCATCATTTCTGGGGTGAGATGTGATCTAAGTATTATTTTAATTTGCATTTCACAGATGGTTAAAGGCGTTCTGAACATTTGGTTCCTCTCTAATACATCTTTTAGTAGTCTGTGTAGGGTTGTCTTTGTCACCATGAAATTCTTTAGTTGTTCTTTGTCATGGAAGTATTTTACTACTCCATCACACTTGAAAGACAGTTTTGCAGGGTATAGTAGTCTGGGCTTGAATTTCTTTTCATAGAAGACTTGAAGTACTCTGCTCCATGCTCTTTTTGCCTTCATGGTTTGTGAAAAGATTTCTTCCATTATTCTGATGGGTTTTCCTTTAAGTGTGATATGTTTTTTTTTCTTTTCTTTTTTCCTTCTCTAGTGGAAAAATATGGAACGTTTCATGAATTTGCGTGTAATCCTTGTGCAGGGGCCATGATAATTTTCTCTGTATCATGCCTATTTTAAAATATGTGCTGCCAAAGCGAGCATTCCAGTCCTTTTTACTTCGTTTTTTTTTTTTTTCTTTTTTTAAAGTTTTGAGATAGGGACTTGGAAATTGATTAAATTTCCCATTATTGTCTCAAGCTTGTGATCCTACTGCTTCAGCCTTCCAAAGTACTGGCATAAGATGAATGAATCATCATGCATAGCGAAAAATAATTTTTAATGTGCTCTTGGATTAGATTTTTTCTTAATTTAAGATTTTTACTTTTATGTTCATCAAAGACCTTAAGTCTATTTTTCTCTTTTGTAAGATAATTTTCTAGTTTTCTTTCCAAAGTGTTATGGTTTGTATCTACTTGTCCCTCCAAAGCCGCATGCCAACCATTGGACAGTCACCATTTGAGGGGCAGAGCATGGTTTGAGGGGTGTGGCCAGAGGACAAGGGAGGGGCTTGAGAGGCGGGGCTGGAGAGGTAGGAATCATAAACTGGCTAGGCTGTGGTTTCTCAAAGATATGGAGAAGGTCATGCTGGACAGGGCAGCAGCTCAGACTCTACTGCAGTGTCTTGAAACCTTCAGTAACTGTGAGCTAAATAAACCTTTCCTTCCCTCATTTTAAGTGTTGAGTGTTTGTCCCAACAGCAAGAGAAGAGTAACTAAAACACACAGCAAACCTAGCCTCAAAGAATAAGTTTCGAAGAATTACTTCTCCTCTATGTCTACAAAGTTTCAAAAGAGCTTGCATTAATTCTTCTGTAAATGTTTTGTAAAACTCTGTGTGGAAGCTGTTTTCTCCCGAACTTTTTTTCATGGAAAAAATTTATTTTGGATTCAATTCCTTCCTCATTATCAATTTGTTCAGATATTCAGTTTCCTTGTGATTCAATTTTGATAATATATGTGTGTCTAAAGTTTTGTGTGTTTCTTGCAAGTTACCTAATTTACTTGCAAATTATTGTTCATAGCAACCTCTAAAGATTCTTTGCACATCTGAGACATCAATTATGAATTTTTGTTTCTGATTTCATTTATATTTTGAACCCTGTCTCTGTGCGTGGGTTTGTATGTGTGTATGTGTTTTGGCACGTGTGGGTGTGCATGCATTCTGGCTATGAATTTTTCAAATTTGTCTTTTTTGAAGAAACAGCTTTGTTTCATGGATATTTTCTATTCTATTTTCAAGACTTTCATTTATTTTTGTCACTGGTTTTCATTTTAATTGTAATAATCTCACGGCAGATTTCCATATTATAATTGTTTTTGCAATTTCTATATATTTAGTCTTATGAATTTCTAAATCCTATAAAAAAGAAATAGGATGAATCACGACTTGGTTATTGTCTTTTTTCGATTTTCTGACTCTTATTAGTACATGTTTTTAGTACATAATAATTACTTTCACTGTAGAAAATTGTTATTTTTACATCACGCATTTCAATTCTTTTCTTGCTGCTTTCTTGAACATTTTTACTTCCACCACCTTTTTTTTTAGCATCATATTCATTAATTTATCTAAGAAGACTATGTAATTATTATATGTACAGACTAAAAAATCATACTAATAGTCCAAAGAACATATAAAACATTCATGACAATTCTACTAAGATGCGTGTACTTTTAGATACATTTTATGAAAGATATTTATTCTTTTAAAACAACAAAATAAGTTTTCCATTAAAAAGTAATAAACTTTTAATAAGGAAAACAGCATTGGTCAGTGAAGCCTTAAATATTCACTGTTAATAATATTCTTCATAACAGATACATGTTAAAATTTTGCAACCATGAAAAAGATAGAATTGTAATTTATTTAAGAAATAAACCAGTTAGGTGCCGGGGAGATGGCTCAGTAGGATAGGCGCTTGACTAGCAAACGCAAGGATCTGAGTTCAATCCCCGGTTCCAAAAAAAGAAAGAAAGAAAGAAAAAAACCAGAGAGGAAATATCTGCAAATGTGGTTGCTCCAAAGAAGTCACTATTTGGCACTGCACTTAATCTCATCATAGTGAGTTTCTTCTTCTTTCAAGGACACTAAGGATACTGTCTCTTCCATGAAAAAGAGGGTGGCTTCTTGGGAGACTGAAATAGTAAACAAGAGTGTGGGTTTGAGTGGTGACAAATTGGTATGCACGGTGTGCCTACAGAAGTAAAGACTTTTATAGAAATTACTGCTAGATATCTCTGTGGAGACAGGACTTATCTGAAATGCCAGATGGACCTGCCTAATAATGGCTCTTTTTGTAAAGGCCAGCAGTAGAGAATGAATTTTAAGTTCAGCATGAGTTTCAACTCATTATATAGCCCAGGCTAGTCTTCAACTCACAGTGAGCCTACTGGTTCTGCCTCCCTAGAGAAGGAATTAAATGTCTGTGTTACCACACTCAGCTTCATACTTCCTTTTATCTCTATCTTAGTAATGGATGGAGGAGGGATAGCAAAGGTAAGGCAAGGCAAAGAAACATCAATGTTTCTTACACACCAGGCACATATGGTTCCTTCAGGAATGGAGACAAGAGATGGCCCCTCATGATACCTCATTGTCTCAATAATAGATCACAGTTTTTTTTTAAATTTTTTTAATTAATTTATTTATTTGAGAGAGAGAGAGAGAGAGAGAGAGAGAGAGAGAGAGTGTGTGTGTGTGGTGTATGGCCAGCTCAGCCCACCAGGGGGCGGCGCTGGCTGGCATGTGGTGCTGGGGGATTGAACCGCGGTCCCTGATGCTTTGCTAAGCTTGTTCTAAGTAGGTGCTTTAGACCACTGAGCCATCTCTCCAGCCCATAGATCACAGTTGATCTCAAAGTATTCATGAAAATAATTGAAGTCCTCTTTCAAATGTCAAAAGAGAACAGTTCAACCTAATCCTGTAGTACGTTGCTTCTTATGCACCAAATTGCTGTAAATGAGCAGAATGCCTGGCCTTCTATGTCAACAGAAATAAAGGAAATAATGAGAATAATTCGTTTCTCCCTCTATATGAAGAAATTTTATGATCATCAAATTTAAGTCTTTTCACATTCTGCATTAATTGTACCCAACATCAACTTCAAAAATATGGTTATATGGCTTCTTGAATGCAATACTTATATCTCATAGATATAATTTACTTTACTACTGAAGAATTGCAAATGTTTCATAACTTAAAAGAGTGCATATATATATATATATATATATATATATATCCATCCATGGAATATGAAAATGAGAGCAAAATTCAAAGTTTTTTTTTTGGGCGGGTACTGGGAAATGAACACAGGACCTTGCACTTGCCAGGCCAGTTCTTATGCCACTGAGCTACATTCCAGGTCTATAAAACTGAAAGCTTCTACAACTCATATTGTAGTAGTAAATCCCCCGACCCCAGTCAGAATACTTCATTTGCCCAGCTGATACTTTCTGTTGCAGTTCTGGTTTCTTCTCTCATAGAAGGTTGGTCACTGTGATTCATAGCTTCTTACTATTATACACACTGTAAGAACAATCAAAGACAGCCATGTATTCTGCTTCTTGCTTGCTATCCTATGAAACCTCCCTTCCTGAGCATTTAGAGTCTTATACTTGGGCAATGATATTTAGGTTGTCATAAGAAAAATCTGCCTCCAAATCTTGAGTGTAATTTCAGGATTTCTGCTTGTGATTGCAATACAACACGTCTATATCCAACATGTGGTGTGTATTACACAGAGAATATAATGTTTTTTTTTTCTCTAAGAAAGGATATAGGAGCTACCATCAAGGATAGAGAGGAGCAGACATCACCTAAACACACAAGGCTACCTCAATTCTTATAGCAAAGGAATACATATGAGTGATGGGTCCAAACAAATCTTTCCCATGAATGCAGCTGGATTGAAGAAAAAGCTGCACACCCATCTGTCTGGAAGTACCTGGCACCATCTATTTCTTCAGCAACAAAGTCTTTCTCACTCCTTCCAAAGGAAGAAGGAATTTCAGGAACAAGTACTTCTTCAACATCATCATAGCAACTTCTTGTGGCACCAACGTGTTGCTCTGGAGGTTCTGAAATAAGACAAAGAGAAGGTGGAAGAGAACTTTATGTGTTGAATTAGGGCTTTAGTCTTATCTAATGCAGAGATTATAAGTTAGAGAACATTCCAAGGTTGCCCCAAAGTTACACATTTCATCTGAATATTCTTAGAAATTCTTTTTTTCTCTCAGAAGCAAAGAAGCTATACTGAAACTGATGACCAACATTCTGACAAGAAGCCAGAGAGAATATACACCCTGGTTTGGCATGTATGTCCACATTATATACTTTTCAGATTTTTATAGCAACCACATTACCACATTGCCTCATTTTTAGGAACTTTATAAGAATGATACAAATTTGTCATAAGGTTTGCATTTCCCAGATACTATTGGCCACATTCCAATCATAGGATGTTGTGGTTTAATATTTATCCTACTTTCAAAGTTGTTCTGATTGTCTTTTATTTTTATGATCTTTATTCTTAGTTGATTTAGTCTCAGCTCCATGTGATAGGTTGAAAGCTTGAGTTCATGTACACTTTAAGTTAATTTAAGTGACTTCTTTCTAAAATGGATTTACAAAAAGAATATGGAGTCTCTCTTGCCTTTTTAATCTTCAAGTACAAGTTTTTCTTCTTAGGGCATATATAGTCCTTTATATTCTGGCAGTATACTTTGCATCTTGTATCTTGTATTCTCATTCAAAACCATTATTTTCACTTTGGCTACTTTGTATTATAATCTACTCTTTATCCACTGAATGAGACATGATCCAAAATTAGGAGGGCCATGATTCTGTAGATCTTCTAAATATTACAATGTATTAAGAACAATAATAATTGCTGAAATGAATTCTCATACTACAGAGCAATAAGAAGTCATTATGCTAGGAATATGAGGTGTTAATTTCAGACATTTAGCACACAGTTGGACAGGATCAGCACAAATCACTGACTGATTAAAACTTAATTTGCACCAAAAAATTCAGGTTATGATAAGCTCTCTGAGGCAGTGAGAGATAAGCAGCTGAGAGGGGATGCAAACTTGGGCTTTTAT